CACGAAAACTTCAAATCAAGATTGCCTGTCTGTACCGACAAGCAGTGAGCGAGGCTGGGTGGGCAAAAAGCTGTTGCAAGTAGGCCTCGGAACGGTAGGGTAATTGTACCTTTTTTTATCGGGTAAAAGGGTAAAGGTAAAGGTGTCGACATGCCAAGGGGTAAGGGTAAAGGGTAGGGTAAAAGGTAGGGTACAGTGATTGTATTGTGGTAAGGTAAAAGGTAGGGTAAAAGGTAGGCTCGTTGCTTTTTACACTTTTACCTTGCCTTGCCGAGGCCTAGTTGCAAGGGGCCTGCCACCCAGCACCCCATGAGCGCTTCCACCCTCCCTCGGCACCCCGCGAGCGTCACCACCCATCCCCAGCAAGCGACAAAGTCGCCCATGATCGCATCCCAGAGTCAGTAGCGCCGCACAGGGCAGGGCAAAACTTCCTCCTCGCCACCGAGGGGGAGAGAGAGAGGGGGGGGGCGAGGAGAGGCGAGGGGGGGTGGGGGATAGAGACGACTTCTGAAAATAACCACGGCGAGTAACCCACCCACCCACGCACGCACGCGCACGCACGCGCGCTCGCCTTAGAGTGTAATCCGATTAAACTCGAAGGGAAGAACACCCACAAGGCGCACGCGTCGACGCAGATCCCGCCGTGACGAAAGGACTGCTACGATTAGGGACGAAGCCACCCCCCCCCCCCACACACTCCCTCAAGTGCCCGATTAGTGCGGCTGTGATGCTTGATGCTTGCACCTCCGATTGGCGAGGCATGGTGCGAAATAAGTTCAACGTGCATACGCAGGTACACGCGGCAGAGGGACAGACATCGTGCTGCAGGCCACGGCGAGGCTGCTGGCGGTTGCGCTCCTGCCGCGCCGGTCGCTCCGCGTCCGGAGATTTCTCTCTCAGGGGGGGGCACTCCGGGGGTCTCCCTCCGGATAAACGGCGGCATCGGACCATCGTGGAGAGAATGCCGCGAGCAGTCTGCTGCTGCTGCTGGTCAAGGAACGGAGTTGAGACTGAATCGAAACGGCTCTCAAGAGACTGCAGGGTCGAATTCCCGAGGAGATTTCAGTAGCCAGAACGAGTAAAATGGTTTTTAAAAAAATGTTAATATTTTTTTTACTAGGTGTGAGGCTTACCGAGCTATGTAGCTCCTTTCCAAAAGCGACCTGGCCATAAAATGAGAGCTCAACGAAGTGGCTCAACGTCATCGAACGGAAAATGCACAGCGGCCAAATACTCTGACCGCGTGACGTTGAGTTTAAATGCGGAGGGATAAACCGGAGGACCCGGAGAAAATTCCACGCGACCACGGGGAGAGAGCGAACATGTAAACTCGCAATATATACAGCAGCAGGCGTCAGGGTCGGGATCGAACCCACGACCTCCTGTATACCAGGCGAGGGAGTTAACATCTCTGAACCACTGCGGGGCCCCAACGCGGGTTTCCCGAACAAACCCGCCAGTACCGTGGGGCAAGCGAAAGGTCGCACATCGCGCACCGAGCAACGCACGTGTGGCACAACGTGGGCACGCGTGGTGGAGCATGTGCAGTGAAAGTCACCACGGACCACGTTCCGGCACCACGGGCGAAAGGGCAAAGTGTCACTCAATGAGGACAATCAACGAGCGTTGGAGCGACGCTTTGCGAAAGCAGAATCAGCCTCGAGATACAAACAAACCTTTCAACAGTCCCCCCCGCCACCACCCCCCGCAAGGCCTCCAACACCGCGATTTCAAACGCCGTCCCACACTTGCCCTCCCGATCACGGCAGGACATCCCAAGATTCTGGCCTCGAAGGCAGCGTCGGTGGCAGCAAGTCCATTTGCATCCAGCTCTTCAAACGGCATCGGCAATTCCAAGACCCGGTTACCTGCGGGCGTTCCATCGCGCCCGGCTGCGCCCAAATAAATAGCCCGCTCTTGTTTCCCGATCGAAATGACACCGGAGCAAAATAAACAACTCAAAAGCCGAGCAGATCTGCAAATCACTGGATATTTTGCGAGGAGTTCTCTCCAGATTAAAACAGCAAAACTTGCAAACCCGTCGATGGTTCACGGGGGTCTTGGAGGGGTCTTGCGGGGGTCTTGGGGGAGTCTTGGGGGGGTCTTGCGGGGGTCTTGCGGGGGTCTTGCGGGGGTTTCACCGAGCATCCCCGGCTCCCCACCGGGGGTTCTCTTCAAGGTGGCCTCGTGCCCTCAAAGAGGTGCTCACGCTGGGGTTAGAGCGGTGGTTCTTAAAGTGTCTTAGAGCAGTGTTAGCAGTGTTAGAGCAGTGGTGCTCAAAGTCCCTGGACCACCAGTAGACCACCAGTGGACCACCAGTGGACTACCAGTGGACCACCAGTAGACCACCAGTAGACCACCAGTGGACCACCAGTAGAGACCACCAGTAGACCACCAGTGGACCACCAGTACACCACCAGTGGACCACCAGTGGAACACCAGTACACCACCAGTGGACCACCAGTGGACCACCAGTGGACCACCAGTGAATCACCAGTAGACCATCAGTGAATCACCAGTGGACCACCAGTAGACCACCAGTAGACCACCAGTAGACCACCAGTAGACCACCAGTAGACCACCAGTGGACCACCAGTGGACCACCAGTGGACCACCAGTACACCACCAGTGGACCACCAGTGGACCACCAGTGAATCACCAGTGGACCACCAGTAGACCACCAGTAGACCACCAGTAGAGACCACCAGTAGAGACCACCAGTAGACCACCAGTGGACCACCAGTGGACCACCAGCGGACCACCGGTGGTCCGTTGGGCTGCGATGCCAACGCAGCTTGATCCAGAAAAGTCATGACGTTTAACAAAATAATAGTTTTTTTATCCTTTTAACTGTCAACAAAACTGACACCTTTTTTACAAGGAGTCATGTTTGCATTGACCACAATACCTGCAGTCGGAATGCATACATTATCAGAGTTGTGTTTTTTGTTTGCATTCCGACTGCAGGTATTGTGGCCAATGCAAACATGACTCCTTGTAAAAAAAGGTGTCAGTTTTGTTGCCAGATAAAAGGGTAAAAAAAAACTATTATCATATTTTGCTACTGGCAAATGAGGTTCCAATGGTGAACGTTTAACACCTTTTGTTTCGGACGTTAATTAATGCATTACTCGTGATATTTAATTTAAAAATGAAGTTGGGTAAACTACACCGATTAAACTTACCCTAACCTGAAGCTCTAAATGCCATCCCCTCCCCCTCGCCTTATTGATGCGTAAAAAAATAAAATGTTCCGGTAATACGAATCACGTTGTGCGAGTGGTATTTACAGAGAGAAGTGAATGCGTGTTGTCACCAGGAGTAGGGTGCCGGCTTGGGCGGTCCGGCAGAAATGTTTGCATCGGCCGAGTGCATCCGTGGGCCAAAACAGTTTGCGAAACGCCAGGGGCAAGTGATGTCTTCCTTCCGATATTGGGAAGCCACTGGGGAGCCGTGCACTTTTAAATCATCATCTAGATTGTCAAACTAATTTCTTCAGAACTGTTGTTGTGTTTAGGTGGTTGTCTTCCCCCCCACCCCACCACGCCTCCGATTCAACACACGCAGAGAGACGCCCACGTGACCTCGATCCGGCTCGCTGTGGGACCCCGGCCGGCGGTGGCGCAGCAGGGAACGGGGGCGGCCGTCTCAGCGAAGCCGCATCCGGTGCTACCACCGACACGCCCAATGCGTGCCACACTGCTTCAAGAGGGTAAAAACCTCTCCCCCCCCCCTGCACTGCCACCCGATATACGCAAGAGAGACACGCGAGAGAGACGCGCTCGCGGTTTAATCGGGGCTCAGCTGCGCACTCAAAAGCTGGGGGGGGGGGGGGTGGGGGGGCATCGTCTCCTTTTGGATTGGCTGGGCCCTTTGAACACCGGTACCGCGTTCGGCACCAACGTGGCCGGTGGAAGCGGTCTCACAGCCACGGATCTCGGCGAGATTTCCACAAAGATCCCGGACACGCGGCACGCGCCGTGCCCAAGTCGACGCCGCGACAAACGACCGTCGGCCGCCGTCAACCGTCGACGCCGCGAGCTGCCGATCGCCAAGCACAGATTCCCGATCTCGAGTTGAGGTTTTATATTACTATTAATTTTATTGTTCAAGTTGCGAGACGAGTTCGGACTACGGATGCGACAGTGTGCGACTTCGTGGCCGCGTGAGAGGCTGCCAATCAGAGGCGAGAAGCGTGACCGAGCAACCAATCGGGAGCTCGGGGTGGGAAGCAGCTCGGTGACGTTTGCAACCTGGCCCGGTCAGACCAGCTGATGTGAGAACAACTGACCAATCGGAGCCAAGGGTGGTACGCAATCGATATTAAATACGACATTCAACCAATTAGATATCAGGACGAGAAAGCAACTCGATCGCGCCGTCAATTTCCGAGAGCCCAAAACCCAGCCAATGAGGGTTCAAGGGGCCAAACATTCAACCAGAGGCGCAACACAAGAACCAACCAATACAAATTGACAGTGCTCAGAACCAACCAATCAGGAATAAGGTGTCAGAACCGACCAATCAGAGATTAATATGTGAAAACAAAATCAACTTAAGGCATGACAATCAACCAATCAGGATTCAAGACAGAAACTCCAACCAATCAGAACCCGGGAATGTGACACGCTTCTGGAGAAATGCTTGAGAGAGTGCGTCGTAGTGTGACAGTATCAGTTATTTGTTTAACTCGGTGACATTCACTGTGATCATCATCATCATCAGCTGCTGCTGCTGCTGTGTTCGAGAGAGGTATTACGAACAGCACCACGGCACCACAAGGCAATTCACTACGACAAACGCCTCATCGAAGTCCGTACACGAGCGTTAACATTATCCCGGGGTAGTAACGCAAAGTGCGGCAATTACAAACTCCCACCGCGGCAATTACAAACTCCCACCACATGCAGCTAAGCAGCAACAGCTGGCCCCCGCCTTCGACGGGGCGAGCAAAAAAACTAACATCACCAACCCTCCCCACCTCCACCCGTCCCCCCCCCCCCCCCCCCCCGTTACCAGGAACAAATGGAACAGCTCTAACCTACACACACTGGGGACGAAGGCCGGGTGGGAGCTGTACCACTCGTGTGAAAGGGCCGATCAAGCGGGCAGCACGCACAGCATTTCCGTGGGCTGTGTGCGAGTGTTGCGGCAGCCTGGCCCAGACCAACGCGGCGGGTGCAGGTGGGCTAGAGCAGGCGACCACGCTGGATGACGATGCAGCAGACGCTACCGGGTGACCCTCGCGGGACAGACGGACTGCGGCAATATGTCCACTTGTGCTTAATTTAAACTGAGTTAGCCTGGTGCGGGCCAGAGCGGTGCAGAGCAGGCCGAGCCAGGTCCGGCTCAGGAAGGCCCCGATGCTCGGGCGTGTGAGCTAGGGCGAGCGGGCTGGAACTAAACTGCGTTGGCCTGGTCCGGGCTAGACTGTAACAGAGTAGGCCGAACCGGGCTAACAAAGGTCCGGGTTAGACTAGGCTAAGAGGAGGCCCGAGCGTGTGGGCCGGGGGTTGCGGGAGGGAGTCTACTGGGTGGCCGTGAGCGCTAGGCTAGGATCGCTTGGCCTGCAGCGTGGCGGTGGCGTAGGTGGGGCGGGCCTGCTTGTTCTCGACGGCGCGCCGCAGGTACTCCACGCCGCCCCACTGCTCCCACACGTCGTCGAAGCCGCGCGGGAGGATCTCGGCGCCCTGCTTGCGCGTCAGCCCCGTCTCCTCGAGGCTCAGCTCGCACATCTCCATGTCGTCCTTGCCTGCGCGCGCCGGACGGACACGCACACGGCAACGGTTGTGGCGGGGGGAGGGGCGGTGAGGGAGGGGAGGGAGGGGGAGGGAGGGAGGAGAGGGAGGGAGGGAGGGAGCCGTGCACTGTCGTAGTTGGGGACGACACTGCACAGTGGTTATTCCCCGCTTTAGTAATTTTCGTGTAATTTTCAAATTTAGCTGAATTTGGAGCGCGATGCCGGCAGACACCGGGCTGCGAGCGAGCATTAGCCTGCCCCTAATGGGCGACGTTGCTATGGGGCTTCCCAATTAGGCAATTTGCGGTGTCATTTATCTAATTTGGAACAAGACGCCTATTTTTATTTTTTCCAAATAACGTCACGCGATCCTCACCGTCCACCGTGCCACGAGACCGCACTGGGCGAGATCTCGACACCGCCACGGTCACAGACTGCGAGGGTGGGGGGGGGCAAGTGGAGTTAGCGAGCACCTACTCAGCCCGGCACGGCTCACGGAAGGGGTCAGGGGATGGCCTGAGGTTGCGTTGGCCTGCGGCCTGTGCCAGTTTAACCCAAAATTTACCCCCCAATCCTCCCGCCGCCTAACTCCATGGTCCTCTTCTTCCTCCCCCGCCCCCACCCGGCGGTCTTCACGCAGCGGCGACGCCGTCCCCCTCCTCCCAACACTCACCGGCGACGAGCAGGATGGGCGGCTTGTCGGGGTGAAGCTCCATCTGCCTGGCGATCCACTGGCCGTCGAAGTGCGCGTACCACCAGCCCTTCTTCTTGTTGTTCGGGTCCTTGTACTGGTCGGCCGGGCGGATGAAGAGGATGCGGAAGTAGCGCTGGGGCCGCCCCTGTGCCGCCTGCGGCTGGCGCGGGGGCACCGGCGGCACCGCGCTCATCTGCTCCGCTGCTCCGCACCGGAACCCACGCACGCACGCACGTGAGATTACACACAGATCTACAGATGCATGTGCAAGTCGTCGTCGTCATCATCATTAGGCGTTATCCACAACTCCCCCCAGCACCCTGTCCCCCGACCCCCCCCCCCCCAAGCCATCACCGCCGCTCACGGTCTTGCGATGGGCCAAGGGGAGAGGCCCGTGGTTAACCGGTTCGGACATCGCTCGCCACCAATGCCGAGCCACAGCCGGGTCACCGGGGTTGTAACGCAGCGCGCAAACCGCTGCGCCGCCGCTCCCCCCACAGTGTGCGCCGCACAGGCACAGATAAGGACAAAGATCCCCCGTGTAGCCTTTACAGAATGTTGGCGCAAGTGCTGTTAGCGAGCGTCTATGAAAGCCGACAAGGCATCCGAGGGGGTGGGTCGCCACCACCACCACGCCCGGCCGCCTTTGTCTCCCCAGTGGCGACGTTTTTACACGTCGCACCAGGCACTCATTTGAGGCTGAGTGGACCTAGCGGAGGCCCAAGACCGGTTCAGATAATCGTCACTGGTGTTGACCGTGAGCAGAAACTCGGGTTACCAGGTTCGTAGCGCACTACTGCTCCCCACAGACCCACACGCACGCACCCACACACACACCCACACACACAGCGCTCCCGCGCAAACGCGGTCTCTTGTGACCGCGCTGACAGCGCTGGCGTGAAAACCAGACGCTACTCATTTGAGACGGCGTTGACTCGGGGGAAGCTCGAGACCGTAATTGCCACCAGCGATGTGCATTCACGGCCGGCAAATCAACGGCATGGCAAGCGCGGCGCGCGCGCTTTTTGCTGAACACACCATCAACTTCCTCGCTCGTACATACGCGCAAGCACGCACGCCAGTGCTGCCACTGCGCAGGACAAATTCGTTTCTCGGGTCATTAACCTGCGACGATGTCTCCAGGCTAGACAGAGGCTTGGCAGAAGTTGATCTTCTCTGCTGTGAGACCTCACCACGCAAGTCGGGACCCAGGATACTAAACTAAAAAAAAAACTAAAACTAATTTATTTTACCAGTTAAGGCCCACTGAGCTATTAGCTTGTTTTTCAGAACCGAGCTGGCCACAAATGACAGCTCAACGAAGTGGCAATTACAGCAGCCAAATCTAAATAATCAAAACACGCGGAATTTCACATCGCAGCTACCGTGAGAAATTGGCGACGGCTTGGGAGGGAGGCCGTCATCCAGCAATGGATTTATCGTGGCGGATGGGTGAACAGCCGGGGCGATACTCAGTACTGCTGGTGGTCCCAAGCCATCGGTGGAAATTACACATTCCTATGGCAAGGGCCTGTATTACCAAGGGACAACTACTGTTGACTTTCCCACCAAGTGGTGGTGATGGTGGTGATGTTGGTGATTATGTGATGTTTATAATAAAGGTCTTTGGGTTATATCGTTTTTTGGGTTACACGGTCCAATCCAAAAACCTCTATGATTAATTAAATTGGTCGCGGAAACCTACGTGTGACGATGAGCGTGCATGTCGACGGCGTCTAGAACTTCTGCTACGCGCAATGACGACGGCAGAGGTCGCAACCGGGTACCCGATACCCGTACCCTACCCGATACCCGGCTACCCGTACCCGGCCAGGTACGGGTAGCCGTTTGCGACCCTGGTGCGGCCCGGTACGGGTACGGGTACGGGTAGGCCGTGAGTCACTGGTGAGTAGCCGTTTGTCTCTCATTTCGGGTAGGGTACGGGTACGTGTAGGGAACGGGTACCCCATTTGCGACCCTGGTGCGGCCGGGTACGGGTAGGAAATCAAAACCTGTTTGCGACCTCTGGACGACGACGATGATTACACGACAGGTGACCGGGGGGCAGAGTCAGTTTGACCCCGCCGGGATTTGAACTCTCCCCATCTCTTGAGGCCGTGTACCCTTCCCGCTCCGTGCGAGCAGCCAGGCTCGGCAATGGTGCGCTCGCGATAAAAGGCCAGAAGAGGTCCCGTCTCCCACCGCAGAGATAGCGCTCGGGTGATTAACTTGATTAATTGAATGACGGATTAGATGCTCCCCCCCCCCCCCCCCCACGTAACCGCACTTGATCGGGTCATTATGATACAATCAATTATTTGGGTAATTGATCGCGTGAGTCTTGTCCGGCCGGACGTGATGTGTACGTGCATGCGCGGGGAAGCAACGGCGCGTGCCGAGGTGAGCGCGCGCCCCGGCTGCGAAAACCGGCGGCCCGAGTTCGATTCCCGGTCACGGCCGCCAACGCCGGTGACGATTGTCTGGGCCGGTCCCGGGCCTCCTCTTGGTAGACTCGGCCTCAAATGAGTACCCAGTAGAATATGTACACATCAGCACTGGGGAGACGAAGCCAACCCCGGCGTGGTGATGGCAACACATAGACGCTCGCTAAAAGCGCTTGCCAAACAGTCTGTGTGGGCGACACAGAGAATCCTTATCTTTGTTATGAAAAACTGATCCCGCTGCTTGCTGTTTGAGGGAGTCGGTGGCCTACTTGCTGTACTGCGTGCGTGTGTGTGTATGTGCGTGTGCGTGCATATTCCAGCTCACGAAGACTCCATCTGTCCGCGTTTCCCCGGAAACCACCTCTGAGATTCCCTCCGCATCTCCAGAAGGTCCAGAAGGTGTTTGACTGGATGTCAAAACTTCACATCACACTCTTAGCAAAGTATGTTTTGCTATTCCTCCATGCGACATCGTCACCACTGCTCTGGCTCCATCAGTATGTGATCCACCAATACCCCCCTCCTCCCACCACCCCCCCTCTGTCTCAACCAAAACGTCTCTCAAAGACTGCAGAATCGAACCCCCTAGGGAGTTCAGTATCAGGAGGCCAGAACGATTGAAATACAAAATATATGAAATAAACTAAATATATCTTTTAAAATATACACCATCATGTGGAAATTTACATCAGCCAAATAGTCTCAGCGTGTTACACTGATTCTGAATGTTGGAGGGAAACACCAAAGGTCCCAGAGAAAAATCCACGCGACATGCAAACTCCGAATATACAGCAGCAGGCGTCGGGGTCAGGATCGAACCCGCGACCTCCTGCATACCAGGTCAGGGAGTTAACATCTCACCACCACGGCGCCCCAACTCAGGAAAAAGCTCGCCAGCACCGTAGAGCAAAACGTCGGACATTGCGCGCGGAGCAACGCACAGCGACACAACAGGCCTCGGGGGTTGGGATCGAACCCACGACCGCCTGCACACCAGGCGAGGGAGTTAACATCTCACCACCGAGACTGCCTGTGAAGAGCATTGGCAACAATATAATTAGGGCTCTGTACACGCAGATCGGTAGACGTAATCAATTACGTTGGAGCGCGGTTATAATCAATGGTTATTTTCACACTAATTGCCCTACAACCCCCCCCCTGCCCCCACCCCACCCCGCTGCCCCCCCCCCACCCCTTCTCCTCTCTCCGGCTTGATTGAGATGAGTGCGAGCACCCCCTCCGCGTCGGAGACGAGAGTTAAATAACGACGGGAGGGGCGAGCGGGTTGGGACGCGCTGCCGGCATCGTCGCGGACGGTCGATGCCTCCCCCCCCCACCCCCCCGTAACATCACCCCCCACGTGTGGAGACTCGGCGGGATATTGATTCGTGCTTACTTGCTGTACTACACTCAATCATCGTAATAATACTATTTTCTCCTAAACAGGTAAGGCCCACTCGGCTACATTGTAGCTCAGCTACATTGTATCTCTTTTCTCAGAAGCGACATTGGCTATTGACAAATGGTGATTCTAAACGTGGAGGGAAAACCCAGAGGATCCAGAGATGAATCCACGCGACCACAGATAGAACCCACGACCTCCTGCATACCAGGCGAGGTAGTTAACATCTCACCACCGTGATGATCATGATAGAGACACTCAAGCTCCAAATATACAGCAGCAGGCGTCAAGGTTGAGATTGAACCCACGGCCTCCTGTATACCAGGCGAAATGCCTGACTAACACCGCATTGGCCAGTGGCGTGGACTTGTGATCTGCGGGTTATTGTGGTGACCAGTGGGAGGGTGGGCGGGAGGGGGGGGGGGCACACATAGGGAGCACGAGTCGTGATTGGAGGGGGGTGGGGGTGCCATACAGAAGAGGTTGTGAACCAACAACACGAAAATCTCTCGAAAAAAGATGGTTCTTTCCGGGGTGAGATCGTGTAAAGATGCACGTGTCGTGAAACCCGCCACCACCCGACACAGCCAATTAGTGAGGTTTGTCACGTAAACACAAAAAATATCTGCGACGTGGCGAACGGATCCTTCATCTCGTGACCACGCAAGAAGCACGGTGGGGATAACACTGTGGGGGGGGGAGTGGGTTTGGGAAATAACAACAACAATACCCCACACTCCCAAGCGCACGCGCGCACACACTCACCCCGCTGAGCAAACACGACCTTTGCCCCGACCCCGCACAGCACATGCGTCTAAATCGGGGGGCTATCCGCTCTGCCTTTAATCCCCACTCCCGCCCCCCCACCCCGGGGCCTGTGTGAGCTCGCGGGCGCTCTCCCCTAACGACCGGACACCCACCGACCCACAGGCCGACCTCGAACGCCCCCTTGGGCGAGAGAAGCCGACGCCTTTCCCTCTTCTCCCCGTGCGCGCGCACGCACGCACGCACGGAGACTCTGTGAGAGATGGGGAAGGACGGTGGGGGGGGGGGCAGGTTGGGGGGGGGAGGGGTTTGCCGGCGGTACGGCGGCGCGAACCGTCGCTTTGTCGGTGGCATGGCACAAACGCAGGGCCCATCCACGGGGGAGTTCGATTCCCAGCCCAGGACGCCGTTCTCTCCGTGGGCCAGTTTGTTCTTCTCCATCGCCCACTCGCCCCCTCGCCCCCCTGTCCTCCGTGGGGTTACACCTCTGGGATTTTTCTCGCCGTTGCTTAAAAAAACAGGCGCCGCATGCAATTGATGGTTGGTCACAAATTCCCGCCCCCCTCCCCCCACCGTGTTGGGGAGCTTAC